CCTCGCCGAGGCGCGCGCCCGACGCTTGGCCGCGCGAAGAGACGCGGCGGCTGTGGGCCAGCCCGTGCTTCTGCGCACGCGCGGAGGCAGCCCACACCCAGAAGGCTGCTCGGCACCATGCGGACTACACTTCCCATAAGGCCACAATCCAGGTGTCATGCTTAGGATTTTTATTTTCCTTTGGAAGGTTTAGTTGGGGACAACCTGTTACAGACAGTCTATCCTGACACCAGAAATCCAGGTTCTGCCACAGCCCCAGAGGTTATACGGAATTGTTGTCCTAGTGGCACATACAGTGTGTGGTCCTTGATCTCATTTAGTTGCAGAAAAGAGGAGCTAGAAACTCTAGTTGGGAACAACTGGGGAAATTAGCAAATGGCCTGGACATTAGAAATATCGAGGAAAGTTGCCATGACTTTCGTTTATTGGGATCACGTAGGTAATTTTACACATTATTAAAGAACTGCATGTTTAAGTGCTTTGTGTTGTACTATACAATTGTGACTTTTAATAAAATAACAACTGGAAAAGGCAAGACATGACTTTCTACCTCTAGAGCTGAGAATATAACTTGGTGGTAATGTGTATGTTTAGCAAGTCTGAGGTCCTGGGTTTAATATCAGACACTTCCAAAGAAGAGGGGGAAAAATCCACCTTTAGAATATGGGTATTCTCATTTTACTATTTTCTCTCTTTTTAAATTGATTTTATTTTTTAAAGTACATGACAGCGGAATACATTACAATTCTTATAACACATATAGAACACAATTTTTCATATCTCTGTATATAAAGCTTATTCACACCAATTCATGTCTTCATATGTGTACTTTTGATAATGATGTCCATCACATTCCACCATTATTGCGGATCCCCTGTGCCCTCCCTTCCCCTCCCACCCCTCTGCCCTATCTAGAGTTTGTCTATTCCTCCCATGCTCCCCCTCCCTACCCTACTATGAGTCAGTCACCTTATATCAGGGAAAACATTCGGCATTTGTCTTTTTGGAATTGGCTCTCATTTTACTATTTTCTGTGTTTGAAAAAAAATTATTATAAAGTTTATAAAACGTGGACTATCATGTTACAAGTGTGCCTTTGAACTCGAGCTGCCAAGAGAAAACAAATATAAATAGCTTTTTTGAGTAAAGAAAGCTATAATATGATATGTCAAGAGCTTTGTAATGTTTTGAACAACCAATAATAATAATAATAATAAAAAGAAAGCTGTAAAATGTAACAAATCCTAGAAAATGGAGTCCATTGTTTTAAATATAGGAATAGTACCTATGATCCTTAAGTAACCCCATTGATATTACATCATACCTGAAAGTATACAAAATCCTACAAAAGAAAACAGTATACAAATTATGCACATCTTGGAGGAAAAACTTGCCTAAATCTTATATATGCACACTTCTGAAATTAGGAATCATGTTAGAAACCTCTGGATATATTTTATGACATCCTTTTTACTAATACACATGTGTGTGTGCAGTTTTCATCATTGATACTTCATGACAGGTGATTTTATTTGGCAATGATAAACATGAATGAGTTTTGATTAGCAAGAAAAAGACAATTATTTTTACAAGTTAGTGTAATTTATATGAATCAAGGTGACATTAATAAAACTTCAATAAATATCAGATGAAATAGTATATTTAAAAAATTCCAATCAGCATTCTAAGACTTCTATGTGTTAATTTTTCTTTGTTGACATCTTTTGTTTAACCTAATGAACGATTCCAACTTTCACTTGAATTAAAAACTTGCAATGACCAGAAAAGTCCTGAAAATGACTCAATATTTAACTTGCCTGCCGCTGTTGCAGTAAAACTCAGGACCAGGAAGAGAAAGAAAGAATATAGCATGTATCAGAGCCAGCTCTATCCTCCTTACAACAGGTAGGCACTGGAAGAACGTAAGGACATGTCCATGGCACTACCATTATAATAAATTATTTTTACAAAGGTTAAAGCTATAACCAATTAAAAGCAATTTCAAAGGTAAACATTTTAAAATTCTAAGTGTGTGTGTGTGTGTGTACTGGGTACTGAATCCAGGAGTGTTCTCTTTCTGAACTACATCACTGGCCCTTTTTAAAAAATTGAGACACAGTATCAGTAAGCTTCCCTGGCTGGTCTCAAGCTTGTGAGCCCCTTCTGTCTGAATTTCCAGAGTAGCTGAAGTTATAAGGCATGCACCACTGTGCCCAAGTTAAATGTTAGAATTTCTTAAGTTTTTAAAGTAAACAAATGCTTCTAAATAATAAAACTACTCCCCTCCTTTCCAGGCAGTTGCCCCTGATGCCACTGACTTTGCCAATGCCCACAAAGCTCTGCTCCAAAATGGGGGCTGCCAGTGCAGGTGCAGTGCCGCCAAGGTAATAGATATTTGCAGTGAGACATTCTAAGGCCATTAAACACCCTGTTTCTTCTTAAACTGTCACTCACTAATTTCCTAGTGTTTATTCATCCATCCAGGATAGCTGGTAGTTCGCAATTTTTGACAATTATAAAAAGCCAGTGTAATGTAGCGTTCACATATGTTTCTTGAAAATTTCAATTTACAGGGCTGGAGTTATAGCTCAGTGGTAAAGCATTTGCCTCACACATGTGAGGCACTGGGTTTGATTCCAACACCACATAACAATAAATAAATAAAATAGATATAAAGAAAAATAAAATTTCAATTCACTTAAAAATCATGCCTTTAAATTGCCTTATATGCCTATTCTTCTGCAGGTATACTGTTCAGATTTTATAGAAATTTTATAGAAAGATGTGGAATATGGTATCATAAATCCTCCAATTTTGCTCCTTTTTCTTTAGAATTGTTTTCAATTTCTATTTCCTTTGCCTTTGAATGCATACTGATATCTACAAGGACAGCTGCTGAAATTTGGGAGAATTGGCATCTTAATATTTAATATTTCAGTTCATGAAAACTGTGTAGTGTATCTGTGAGTGTATCTCATGTCCATCTTTGATTTCTTTCACCTGAGCTTTATAATTTTCAGTACACATTTCCCACACTTATTTTGATAGGTTTGTGCATAAGTCTTTTCTTCTTTTTTCTCCCTCCTTTCTCCTTTTTTTTTGTGATTATAGATTTTTTAAAAGTGTCAAATTCCATTTGTTCATTTCGGGTATATAGGAATAGAAGTGGCTTTTGTGTATTGGCCATATCCTGCTAATTTATACTCACTAAAGTTTTCTTTCTTTTCTAGGTTGGACATTTTCTTTTTTTGGGGGGGGGGGTATCAGGGATTCAACTCGGGGCACTCGACTACTGAGCTACACCCCAGTCCTATTTTGTATTTTATTTAGAGACAGGGTCTCATCGACTTGCTTAGCTCCTGCTTTTTCTGAGGCTGGCTTTGAACTCATGATCCTCCTGCCTCAGCCTCCTGAGCCACTGGGATTACAGGCATGTGCTACTGCATCCGGCTTAGGTTGGACATTTTCTACAAACAAAAAAAATTTTTTCCTGAAAACAAAAGTCCATTTTGTTTATTCCTGTATGACTGTAGAATGTTATATCTTTCTTTTTACCTTAGTCCAGTGGCTAAGATTTGCAGAATGATGTTGAATAGAGTATGGATGGATCACTACTGTCTTAGCCTGAGTTGTGCTGCTGCAACAGAATAGCTGAGACTAAATTATAAAGAATAGAAATTTATTTCTGGAGTTCTAGACCCTGAGAAGTTCCAGATGAAAGTACCAACAGGTCTGATGTCTGGTGAGGGTAGTGCTGCGAATGCTGCATACTGTAGGAGAGGCAGTGGGACCCGAGTTTTTCACAGGGCAAAAGAGTCAGAAAGGAAAGAGGCTGGAGAGGCCCAAACTCACTGTTTATGTGCACCAATCTCACTCATGAGTTTCAGAGGGGAGAAGCATTCAGACCTTAGCAATTGCCTTATCCTGCAATTCAGATATGCCAAAGGAAAGCCATCAAGCGCTTCCTTAAGTAACAAGGTGGAAGTTCTCAATAAGGAACACAGTTTTATGTATTCTATCCATGATAAGAACAAATACCCTACCTGTATCTATGGTAAGAATAAATACCCTACCTATGAAATTGCAAAGAAGGAAAAAAGTCATTCATGCTAGTTTTATTTTCACAAGTTCTGTGACAGTGCACCCTACTTCTGTGAGCTTGGTACTGTGGCATCCCACCATCCTGGAGTATGCATCAGTGCTGAGCCCTGGGCCTGAGCTGCCCAACAGCCCCCATAGCCATGTGAACTGAATTGCTATCATGCTGTGTTCTGCAAGCCTCCACAGCACCTCTTCAAACCCATGTGCTTCTATGCCCTGTCCTTCTGAGTCACAGCAGGTACATTTCTCCTCGGACCTCACTTCCTAGGGTGCACCCCAGAATCTCAGATCTTAGTCCTGAAAACAATGGCAAAGAGGGAGGGGAATGAATGAAGGAGACTGAGAATGAATGGGAGAACAGACCTGTGGGCCTAGGCTTTACTGGGCCCAGGAAATCACCCACGCAGATTTCCCATGGAGAGTGCTAACCGCTGTGTTAAACAGGAGGCAGTCATTTCTATGCAGGGTGTCAGGTCAGTGGGAGGAGTCAAGTAGGCTGCATCCAGTGTACCACAGGAAGGTGGTCACCAGGGGCAGCTGTACAAGGCAGAGTACAGGGTGACCACACTGAGGAACTGAGAGGGTGGACAGCTGGAAACTGTCAAGAGTGACCAAGTACTGCTTCTTGTAGGAAGAAGTCCAGGCTGGATTCAGAACAGGTGCCAAGGAAATAAAAATGACTAAGAACACAGTACAGGATATACATAGCCTGAAAGTGAGGAGACAGCAAAAGATCTCCATGCAAACAGTAATCAAAGCACAGGGGCAGCTATACTTACATCAGACGAAACAGACTTTAAGCAAAAGTCTGTCACAGGGGTTAAAGAAATCATTATAAAATGATAAGGGGACCAACTGAATAAGACCACATAACAATTGTAAATACACATGAACCCAACATTGGTGCACCTAAATACATAAAGTAAGTACTCATGAATATGGAGAAATGGCAGTACAATGATAGTAGGGGTCTTCAACACGTTACTTTCTTTTTTTAAAAAATATTTTTAGTTGTAGTTGGATATAATACCTTCATTTATTTATTTATTTTTATGTGGTGCTAAGGGTCGAACCCAGCCCCTCATGCTGTGAGCACTCTACTGCTGAGCCATAACCCCAGCCCTACTCTCACCAATGGGTAGATGGTTCTCTCTTTCAGTCAGACAGAAAATTAATATGGAAACATTGGGTTTGAATTACATTTTAAAGAGGACCTACGAGACAAACACAGAACAGTCCAACTATTAGCAGCAAAATACATATTCCCCTCAAGGGCATGTGGAACATCCCCCAGGATAGAGCATGCTAGGACTTGAAACATGTCTCAACAAAATTTTTAAAAGATTTAAGTCATATCAAGTATCATTTCTGACCAGAATGGTATAAAAATACTAATTAACAATAGGAATTTTGGAAAGTTCAAGTATGTGGAAATTAACTACCTACTCCTTCCTGAACAAGTGATAGATCAATCAAAAGGGAAATTAAAAAACATCTTGAGGCAAACTAAAATGGAATCAACATATCAAAACCTATGAGATACAATAAAAGCAATACTAAGGGAGATGTAAATAAATACCTACATTTTAAAAAAGCAACATTTAAAATAAATAGCCTAACATTACACTTCAAAGAACTAGAAAAAGAACAACCTAAATCCAAAGTTGGCAGAAGGAAGATTATAAAGATCAGAGTGAAATAAGTGAAACTAAGAAAAAATATAAAAGTAAAAAGCAACTAAGAGTTGGCTCTTTTGAAAGAATAAATAAAACTGACAAAACATTTAGGAAAAATAGAAAAATACAGAGAAGACTCAAATATAAAATCAGAAATGAAAGTGGAGATATTCAAACGGATGCCTCAGAAATAAAAAGAACTGAAGGGACTATTATTAACAATTATGTGCTCATTAAATTGGAAAACCTAGAAGAGATGAATAAATTCCTAGAAAAATAGAACATGCCAAGATTTAATCAGGAAGATATGGAAGCATGAACTGGACATTAATAAAGAGACTAAAGTAATCATCAACAACTTCCTAATAACTTGAGAGCATTATGTGAAGGGAAGCAAGCCAAACTCAAAAAGTCAAGAGGAAAACAAAAATTTGGGGTGGTGAGGACGTCATGAGAACTGAAGGGAGATGAACAGAGTGGAGGAAAGGCTGCCCTGGGGTGGGAAGAGAGAAGGGAAAGGGGAAACACTGGGGAATGATACTGGTCAAATTATAATGTCATATAGGAGCTGGGCTGTGGCTCAGTGGTAGAGCACTTTTGTGAGGCACTGGGTTTGATCCTCAGCATCACATAATAAATAAATAAAGGTATTGTGTCCATCTACAACTAAATAATTTTTTTTAACTTATGGTGTTATATTGTGTGCATGAATGAATATGTAACAATGAATCTCACCATTATGTATAATTAAAATGCAGCAATAAAAAATGTGGGAAAAAGTCCAGGACCAGGTGGTTTAATGGCTGCACTGTACCAAAGACTCAAAGAATATGAATACTTTTCTCTCTTTCTTAGTGCTGGGGATGGAGCATACTAGGCAAACACTCTACCACTGAACTTAACCTTCACCCTGTCTTCCTCCCCTTTCTATTCCAGTTCAAACTCATTTCCTTTTAATTAAAGTCCAAGTTACCATTACATGATTTAACAGTCAATGAAGAAAAACTTGTTCAAATAAGGTAGTATGTTATCAACATTTGGAGGTGGTGGTTTGCAATCAAGTAGCAATACCAATAAAGCCATTTCCTCTAGAGTAGAGATTCCCAGTTCATTTACAGTTAGTCTCAGTTCCTGGATAGGAGAGGGGTAGATTTCCCCATGAGGTCCTGTTTTATCCTTAACAAGCTCTAAGATACGAGCAGCACTAGGAAAAATCATTTAACTGACTAAATGCCCACAATGATTTTGGGTTCTGGAACCAGATCACAGCCAAGAAGTGAGTTCATCCTTTTACACAATTCCCAGGCATTTGTGTCTGGTACCTCTGTTTGTTGAAGTACGTCATCCAGCAAGCATCAAACTACCTCCTCTGTCTCTTGTGGTCCATAGGAACATGGGTGAGTTGAAGGATAGCAGCTTTAGGGCCAGAGGGGTACGCTGTATGCACGAAGTCTTGGGGTTGGCCAGGGCTGCTGTGCTACCACCAGGCAGTGGAGCGTGGCCTGCCCAGCATTTGAGCAACTGCGTGGGTGGAGGCTGAAGACTGGGTGTCAGTCTACCCTGGAACACCCAAGGTCCTAACATCAATACTTCTTTTTTCTCTGGGTGAGGGGGTACCAGGGATTGAACTCAGGGGCATTCAACCACTGAACCACATCCCCACCCTATTTTGTATTTTATTTAGAGACAGGGTCCCACTGAGTTGCTTAGCACCTTGCCATTGCTGAGGCTGGCTTTGAACTCATGATTCTCTTATCTCAGCCTCCTGAGCCCCAGGGATTATAGGTGTGAGCCACTGCACCTGGCCCTAACATCAATACTTCTTAAATTCCTCCAAAAATAAAGTAAGAGAGCATACTTGCAAACACATTTGATGAGGCCAGCATCACCTTGATATAAGGCAAAGGCAATATAAGAAAACCATATGCCAATATCTTTGATGAACACTGATGTAAAAATTCTTAATGAAATACTGGAAAATCAAATTCAACCATACATTGACAAGATTATTCATTAGGACCAACTAGGATTTACTCCTAATATGCAAGTCTAATTTAATATATGCAAATCAGTGCAACATATCTAACAGAATGAAAGATTAAAAGCCACATGATTATTTCAATTGACATGACAGCACTGGGCAAAATTCAATATCCTTTCTTGATAAAATCTTTTAAAAAATTAGTTTTAGAAGGAAATTTCCACAACATAATAATTTCCACAAGTGGCCATTCATAAAAAGCCCAGAGCTGACACAATCAATGGGAAAATCTGAAATCTTTTTCCTCTAAGATCTGGTACATGGCAGGGGATACCCACTATCACCACTTCTATTCAACATAGCATTGGAAGTACTTGCAAGAGCAATCAGACAAGACAACAACGTAAAAGTCCTTCAAATTTAAAAGGAAAAATTAAATTTTTCCTCTTTGCAGATGACATGATCCTGTATGTAGAAAATGGAAATCCCCCAACTCCATAAAAATGTTGAAATTTAAAAATTCAGTAAAATGACAGAATATGTAATCAACATAGAAAAAGTTCCTTTTTTCTGCTGCTTCTTCTTGTACTAGGGATTGAACTCAGAGGTACTTTACTACTGAGCTACATGCCCAGTCTTTTTTTATTTTGAGACAATATCTTGCTAAGTTGCCAAGGCTGGCCTCAACCTTGATATCCTGTTTTAGTCTTCTGTAAAAGTTGCTTTTCTGTACATCAAGAGCAAACTGTCTCAAAAAATATTTATTTATGATAACATCATTTATCCCATTTATAATAATATAAAAGAAAATCATAATAATCATCATAATCCCATTTATGGTAACATCAAAGAAAATAAAATACTTAGGAATAAGTTTAACATAGGAAGTGAAGGATCTGTGCACTGAAAATTATAAAACATTAATGAAAGAAAAACCAAGTGGAAAGATACGCTATACTCATGGTTGGAGGAATTAATATTGTTAAAATGTCTAAACTGCTGAAAGCAATATACAAATTCAAAATATTCCCTGCCAAAATTCCAACAGCATTCTTCACAGAAGAAGAAACAAAATTCTACAATTTGTAAAGAAACACAGGAGACCCTGAAACAGCCAAAGCAATTTTAAGAAAGAGAAAGAAGGTCAGAGGCATCTCACATCCTGATTTCAAATTACATTGCAAAGCTATTGTAATAAAACTAGTATATGAACAGCTTAAAAACAGACACATAGACTAACAGAGAAGAATGGCAAACCCAGAAATAAACTGAAACATACACAGTCAAATGATTTTTGACAAACACACCAAGAACAATCAATCGGGGGAAAGAGCAATCTCTTCAATAAATGGCAGGGGGAAGACTGAATATCCACATGCAACAGAATAACTGGATGCTTATCTTACACCAGACACAAAAATCAACTCAAAATGGACAAAAGACCTAAATACAAGACCGGAAACAATGAAATTCATAGCCAAAGACACGGGAAATATTCTTGACACTGGTCTGCATATTGATTTTTTGAATATTATACAAAAATTTCAGACTATGAAATAAATAGAACTATATTAAACCCATAAGCTTCTGCACAGCAAAGAAAGTAATCAACAAAATGAAAAAGTAGTCTATAGATGTGGAGAATACTTGCAAACTGTGTATCTGGAAATGGATTAATATTCAAACTATATGAAGAACTCACATGTCTCAAAACAAAAGCAAAGGCAAACAAGCAAAAGACCTAAACCTGATTTAAAAAAATGAATTAAGGACTTGAATAGATGTTTCTTAAATGAAGACATAAAAATGGCCAACAGGTATATAAAAGGATGCTCAACATCACTATGCATCAGGAAAAAACAAATCAAAACCATAATATCACCATATGCCTATTCAGATGGTTATGATTTAAAAAGGTAAGTATTCATAAGGGTATGGAGACAAGGGAGCCCTTCTGCACAGTTGGTGGGAATGGAAATTGATGTAGCCAGTATGGAACACAACAGTTTACATAAAAAATTAAAAACAGTACTGTCATATAAACCAGCAAACCCTTTGCTAGTTATGTCTCCAATGCAAACAAAACCAGCAGGTCACAGAGATAATTAGCATTCCCATGATCACTGCAAACCAGTAGCCACAAAACAGAAACAACCTAGGCTAGATGAACAGACAAATTGTGTGTGTGTATACAGAACACTGTTCAGGCTTAATAAAAGAGAGCCTGCCATTTGCCACAACACAGGTGAACCTGGAGGCCACGTTGCTGAGTGAAATAAGTCAGATAAACAAAGAAAAATACTGCAAGATCTCACTTATGGTGTGAAATAAAAAGTCAACTACAGAGAAATAAAAAATAAAACAGTGGCTACCAGGGGTGGGGTGGAACTGGGGAGAGGTAGTGAAAGGACATAAAGTGGAGATACATTGGATGAAAAACGTCTAGAGGTCTAGCATACAACAGGAGGGCAAAGTCAATAAGACTGTATTTGTATTTGGGATTTATGCAGAGTAGATTTTGGATGCTGTTACTACATGCATGAAAAAATATGTTAACTTGCTTGACTATAATAGTAGTCACACTGTATGTAAGTACAGGTGGTCCTCTACTTACAATGGTTCAACTAAGGATTTTTTTTTTGCTTCATGACAGTGCAAAATGATACATATTTAGTAGAAATTATACATCAAATTTGAATTTTGGTCTTTTCCCTGGCTAGGGACACATAATATGATACTTTCTGCAATGCTAGACAGACAGGAGCAGCAAACTGCAGCTCTTGGCCAGCCACATAATCATGAGGGAGAAGAGACCTTCAATAAGGAAATTCACTTTATAACAAACACAGAAATCAGTACATACAACAACAATGGAAGAGGTTCCATGCAGGGCTGGGATGTAGCTCAGTGGCAAAGCGTCTGCCTTGTATTCGCAAAGCCCTGGATTCGACCCCCAGTTCCAAAAAGGACAAAAAAAGGAAAAGGTTCCATGTAAACAGGAACCAAGAGAGAGAGAGAGAGCAGAAGAAGTTATTCTATCTGACAAAACAGAATTTAAATACAACAGGTTAGCAAAACATCCAACAAAGCAAGAAGAAAGAACAATTATAAACATTTACAGACCTAGTAACAGGCCATCAAAATACAAGAACCAAACATGGGAGAAATACAGTCCATGATCACAGTTGGAAACTTCAGTTCTAATTGTTGGATTGTACAGCCAGACAGAAGACAAGCAAAACTTGAACACAGTAAACCAGTTGCTCTGACATGTGTAAGCTACCCAACAACAGAATACACATTCCTTTCAAGTGCATGGGGCATTCTGCAGGAGAGACTATGTCAGTCCAGAAAATCAGTCTTGGGTAGTTTCAAAGATAGATATTATACAGTGTCTTCTACAATCATGGTGGGATGAAGTTAGAAATCTGGAATATTAATAAATTTCTGGACATTATGCTCTGAATCAAAGAATGAAAGATGAAATCACAAGGAAAATTACAAAGTACTTAGAGACAAATGCAAAGGAAAACATAAAATACCAAGGAACATGGGACAATGGCCAAAGCAGCACTAAGCGGGGACCTTACAGCTAAATAATATAATAAGTTTGGGAAAATATGCCAAGGAGTCAGGCTAAGCAAATTTTACTTTTACAGTTTGTGTTCATTCACCCCCTCCCCCAAATTAATAATGTGAAAAAAAATTGCCAGTGTTTGCTGGAAATGTCACTTGAGCACTCTGCAACCCCACAGGGCAAGAGTCACATATCCCATCTTAACACGCAGCAGGACTTGATGTGGTGCAGCACTAAGTCATACTTTGTGTCCACAGATGCAGCTTTTGTCCTCATCCAGGGGCTGAGGCCACTTCTGACCTCAGAGACCACTTGAAAGAGCAGGCAGGTGCATGGGAAGCACTGTTCAGAGGCAAAAGCATCTCTATAATTGCAGGCCACAGAATGCCCACCTATCATGGTCACCTGCTGGGGGGGGGCACCTAGATGGTGGTTTCCCCAACTCATAATCCCTCTCCCTGAAATTAGCAGATACTGGAAATCCCAGGAGCTTTTGATTGACAGCCCTTTCTGGGCCCTGGTCCCAGAAGCTGCTCAAACCCTGTGTTTTCAGAGCCTGGCCACCAGGTTCTGCAGGAGGCCTGCACATCCTGCCTGACCAACCTGTCATCCATGCCAGGTGGCCATTCTTCTCAGGACATGCAGGTGATATGGCTCTTTTGGGAGACAAGCACTTGGCCTGTTGACCCAGGATAGGAGTTTCATCTTTGGATTGAGTTTTTTCCAAAGATGTTACCTACTCATCTAATGCAAGTGGGAAGGTAGGAATAAAACCTTCATCTCCACCATTTTAAATATAAGTTGACATTAAAGCATTAATGAAGAATTAAGGGTTTGTAATTTATTATTTATTTTTTTTGGTGCTGGGCATAGAACCCAGAGGCACTAACAAGACAGGCAACCACTCTACCACTGAATCATATCCCCAACAAAAGCAATTTATTTATTTGCTATTTTACCATATGTTATTTTTTATGCTTTAGAAATTGTTATATCCTAGCACAGCAATTTAAACTGATGGCAACTTAGTGGTGACTATTGCATACTTCTACACAACAGACTCCTTCTGTAGTCTTCAATACTTGTTTTCCTATGTTGTGACTACTGGCTTCTGTCCTGTTCTGGCAATTTCAACATGAAAATAAATTACACTATCAAATAAAAGACGACTTTTCCCTCACCACTTGGTTCAATTTTACCTAACCTCCTGCTGAAGCATTTTTAAGTACAGTCATGCCCATCCTCCTAGTGAGCTCCTCAAGATATGGAAGACCTCTGAGCATTGAGTTCAGTCATTTTTCAAAGTCCTTATTAAAATTCTCCACTGACCTACAGGATGAGTTTTCAAACTATGACCTATGTCACCACCTCATGACGACTTTAAACTTGGCAGGGACCCTTTACTATTTGAAATGATGGCATTTTTCTCAGGTTAGGACATACCTATGGCAAAGAAAGTGAAACCTCATCCTTTGGACACAGTAAGAGCCAAAACAACGGCTGATCTGAGCCCTCGTTTCTCTTGGGGGCCACTTATGGTGTGATTCTACTGCCCAAAAGAAGTCAGGATGCAGTTTCTGTGTTAAAAGACATTATGGGGGGCTGGGATCGTGGCTCAGCGGTAGAGTGCTCGCCTAGCACGGGCGGGGCCCGGGTTCGATCCTCAGCACCACATAAAAATAAAGGCATTGTGTTGGGTCCATCTACACCTAAAAATAAATATTCAAATAAATAAAAACTTTTAAAAAAGACATTATGGGGCACTTCTGTGATTTTTAAAATCAACTGTACTGGGGTATGATTTATAGAATGTAAAATATACACATTTTCAATACATTTTGAGGAGCTATGAAAACTCATACAGCTTTGTAAACACTATCACATTAGACAAAAACATTTTTTTTTAAACTGGACTCAGTAAATTCTCACCAAGGCAAACCACCTTTCCGTTGCTCTAAATTAGATATGTCTTTCCTAGATTTCACATAAATAGAATGACATATGGTTCTACCCACTTGTGCCTGGCTCAGCATTATCTTATTGAGATGTATCCATGTTGTTATCTGCATTAGTAGATCCTTCTTTTGTTGGTGAGTGGAATTCCATTATAAGGTAATATTGCTGTGTGTGTATTTTTCTGTTGACAGACCCTGCATTTCTTTCCACTTTGGGGTTACTGTGAGTACAGACTACATGGACATTTTTGAACAATTCTCTGCTTTTAGAATAGAAACTGCTGGTTGTAGGTATCATTACCTTCTTGAGGAGCTAACAAATGGATCATAGTATCACATTATAATTTTATCTTTCCTTGTACTTGTGGGCCTCCTACATAACTTTCGGGAAATGCTTATTTTGACCTTTTCCTTTAATTGCTAGTTTTATCTGACTTTTTGTTATTATATCAAACTTTTTTTTCCAAAATTTCACATATTACCAAACCAATCAAAACCACCTTCATGACTATATGATTACATGACTTCATGATTGTAGCACCTTCATGACTAACCAAAAGATCACATTCCCAGTTATATATTCTCAGCTGTCCCAATAAGGGCACCTATTCAGCTTGATGTGACAAGGAGATCATAACCTTGATATGGCATAAATACATGTATCATTTAATGTGTAATTCCTTCCAGACTCAGCTTGGTTCTCCTCCAACGTCTCCTCTTGGAATTGCACCTGATTTTATTGTCAGTATTCATTGGAACTCACTGGGGAAGGCAAAGATTCTGCTGTGTCTCTTGGCTAGAACCCCTTGATTCAAAAGTCTTGTGAGAAGACAGGGTGAGGAACTGAATTAAGTGCACACACCACAGTCCATATTGTGAACATTCTTTAACACAGATGTGAGAACTTCGTCAGATACACCCACTAGAGTGTCTCTCAGTCTGTGGTTCCCTTATTCATTTTCATGTTAAAATTTAAAAGGCTAAAGTTTAAAATTTTAATTCATCCCCAATTTTTTTTACTCTTATGTTTCAAGCTTTTTAAAATTCTACCTTAAAATTTCTGCACACCTCAAATGCAATTTCTTCAGTTTTCTAAAAAAATGTTGTACTTTTAGTTATGTTTGCATATATGATTCTAAATACATTTCAAATTACAGTGTAAGAGATATAAATGAATATACAGTTATTTTAGCACCGTTTTTGGGGAAAAATCATCATTCTTCATCAAACTACCATGAAACATTTCTTAAAGATTAACGAATGATTTTCCATTATACCTCAGGGAAGAAGGGAGCAGGACAGAGCATTCTTCCTATCTGTACAGAAAGAAAACAGACTGGAAAGATTACAACTTTTCTTGAACATACAGATACGTGAGGTCACGTAGCAAAAAAAAAACTAACCCCAAATCTGGAGAGCTCAGTGGCTTCAGAGAAAAACAGGACCCAAACCGTTGCTTACCTCAGAGGATGCCAACCACCACATAAAACGACTATAATGGAAAAGAGGACACCATGCAGGATCAGACAGGTAATTCCAGCAGAGATGGAATTAAACAATAATAAAATTAAAATCCTAGAAATAAAATTGAAATCCTGGGAATAAAATTAAAATCCTAGAAATAAAAAAGTACAATAAAAGGGCCCACTGATGTATTTAACACAGCCAAGGAAGCAATCAGTGATGCTGAAAGCACATGTATGTGTGTCCGTGTTTTACGTGCATCATGACTCTGAGGTAATAAGGTACTGAAAACATTTAGGAACAATGGCTCTTCCTATATGCACATCAGAAGGCAGCAGGGAATGTGGTCTGGCACTCTCAATTTTCAGATATTTGCTGTACAAGATTTATTTTTAATATACATATGGCAAATTGAAGCTGATGTCAGAATAGTTATTAAGCAGGGGGCACATGATTCCATTCCAATTATGTTGGGTTTAAATTCACAAATGCCTGGCAAGTGGCATGCATATATCCATATATAAATGACACCTCAGAAAACACTCATGTACATGCAATGCTTTTGTTTAGTTTATGCAATTTATTTATTTAAAAAATTTTATTTAATTCATTTGTATTCAGTGCTGAGAACTGAACCCACTGCCTCACACATTAGGCGATGCTCTACCAGTGAGCTACAACCCCAGCCCTTTTTTGGTTCTTCTTAAGCTTTTTTTGTACTAGTGAATGTGCATGAATCAATATTGTACATTTTACTAGATGTTTTCATATTTCATATGAACAAGTTTTGATATAAAATTTCTAAATAAAGGCTATTACCTACCTTTCTCAAAATTGATTCCCCTTGTATCTCTGAGAGATAATAAAGTTTGATGTCTTATTGAAATGTTCATATATTCAAAACTCAATTATCACAAATTTTTTATAACACTTTCTTGGTAGATTTCCTCTGTGTGTGTTAAAATACTGTTTTTCTACTTCCAGTATTTTCCTGTTTGATAAAGAAGAGTTTTGGACAGAAGCTGTGGCCATTCAGGATACTGTCAGGTTTCCTAAGGGACTTTTCTGATACACAGAAAACATAAGTTGTTCTTATGTCCACAGAAATCACATGCTTATGTTTTATTAAGTAAGGCTTGGTGAGTTTAGGTCATTACCAAGTATACCAAACCTTGCAGAACTTCAGCAGAGAACAAGTTTATTTTCTTGATATGAAACACCCAACTGAGTATGTGGAGGAGGAACCACATTCACACCGTCCTTCCTTGACCCTGGTTCCTACCATCAGGTACGCCTTCATCCTAGTGTGTGAACTCCAACTTTTCCCTAGAAGTAATATCTACCCAACTCTGGTGAGAAAATTTGAGAGATGTATTTAATGAGACTCGTCCGTCCCTGAACCCTACATTCTATTAGCTAGAAGTTAACAATATGACCTCCTTTGTGAGAGTGGTTGAGAAATTATGTCTAGATGGAGGATGGGACAGAAGAGGACATGGCTACCGGTCAACATTTAGTAATTAGATAAGGGAGACTACCTTTGTATAAGTCAAACTGGGGGTTGACTATGGCAGGATTGCCCATATCCATCACCTGCATTCCTTGTCTGTCTTGATATGTGGTTAGGTCTCTATCTTTTAAATATTCTGGGCTAAACTGAGAAAGATAACCTTTGGCTAAAGGTTATCACACATTTATTACTTTCTAGGTTTTCTTTCTGTGATTTCTCTGATGATGAATTAGTTTTGATTGCCTACATAAAAATTTCATTTTTTTTATTAGTTTCTTGAAGCTTTTTCTACAACATGCGTTTTTTGAGGATTGAATTCACAGAATATTTCCTATAGTCATTATCTTTCTAGCGTTTCTCTGCAGGGTAGGTTCTGTGATACAATGAGATCAGCACTTTGGGTGAGAGACTGCCCATATTTCCCATATTCTTTACATTCATACATTTAATCCTGCATGGGCTTTCTGATGTTCTCTGAGGCTTGATTTCTGGCTGAAAGTTTTCCCACATCTATCACATTTGTAAGGTTTCTCTCCTGTGTGAGTTCTCTGATGTACTCTGAGATTTGATTTCTGACTGAAAGCTTCCCCACACTGAGCACAGGTGTAGGGTTTCTCCCCCGTGTGAGTTCGCTGGTGCTTTCTCAGGACTGACTTCTCACTAAAAGCTTTTCCACATTCATTACAGTCATAGGGCTTCTCCCCTGTGTGAGTTCTCTGGTGTCCTCTGAGATTTGATTTCTGCCTGAATGTTTTCCCACATTCATCACATTTATAGGGTTTCTCCCCAGTATGAGTTCTGTGATGTACTCTGAGGTTTGATTTCTGACTGAACGCTTCCCCGCAGTGACTGCAGGTATAGGGTTTCTCCCCCGTGTGAATTCTGTTGTGCCCTCTAAGCTGTGATTTCTGTCCAAAAGCTTTTCCACACTGATTACATTTGTAGGGCTTCTCCCCTGTGTGTGTTCGGTGGTGCTTTCTTAGGCCTGACTTCAGTTTGAAAGCTTTCCCACACTCATCACATTTATATGGTCTCTCCCCTGTATGAGTTCTCCGGTGATTCCTAAGGCCTGACATGTGGCTGAAAGATTTGCCACATTCACTGCATTCAAAGGGTTTCTCTCCCGTGTGCGTTCTCTGGTGTACTATGAGGATTGACTTATAGTTGAAAGACTTCCCACATTCATGACATTCGAAGGGTTTCTCCCCTGTGTGGGTTCTTTGATGGATTCTGAGGCCTGACTTTGCACTGAAAGACTTCTCACATCCGTCACATTTGTATGGCTTCTCTCCTGTGTGAGTTCTCTGATGTTTCCTTAGGCGTGCCTTCTCACCGAAAGCTTTCCCACAGTCAGGACATTCATAGGGTTTCTCCCCACTCTGACTTTTCTGAGGCCAAATCAGGAGTAAATTCGTAGAGCAGGATTTCCCACATGCATCACCCTCACAGGGTTTCACCCTTATGTGGGTTCTTGGATGCTCACTAAAAGTTGATTGGCAGCTGAATGTTTCTACACACGTGTTAAGGTCAGCGGGTTTATCTGTTGTGTGAGTTCTCTGATGTACCTGTGGGGGTGAATTATGGCTGAAATTTTTTTCATATTCAAAGTGCTTCACCTCAAAGTGAATTCTCTGCTGTCCTCTAATGTGGGATTTGTGGCCAAAGGGTTTTCCTCCTGTGTTGGTTCTTTGGGTGGTCCTACTGAAACTATTCCTGCTTTCATTAAGCTCATAGTGACTCTTGTCCTTTGGGTGAATGCTCTTGGAGATGAAAAAGGTGGATCTGTCACCTTGGTTTTCTCCAAATGTACTGAATTTATACGATTTCACCTTTTGGTGGACCACAGGAGAAGTAATGAGGGCGGCCTTTTCAAGTAAAATTTTACCACGTTCTTTATATTGAAAATCCTGCCCCAAATTCTGAATTGTCTGAGGCTGAATAACTTCCTCCTTACGATGGAGAGCTCTCACATTCTTACTGCAAACAAAAGACTCCTCTCCAAGATTAGTTGGGTGACCTTTAATACCGAGGAGCCACCTCTCATACAAGTTAAGCTCACAAGTCTTTCCTCTTGAATACTGACAGCGTGAGGCCAAAAGGCTGAGGCTTGGGTAAGTAGGCCCAGAAGCAATACACCGATAAGGCATCATTCTTGTAGGGAAAATATTTATTTCCAGGTTACATGGTTTCTCTGGAATTTCTTGCTCTGTAGTCAATGATCTGTTGGGGAACAAAACTTGCCACAAACGTTTGCCTTGATTTTCTGGGCTCTTTTCTGAGACTTTATCAGGTTGTGAGTCTTCTAAAAATGAGAAAAATAAAATATTTATAAATAGTTAAAGTATTTTTGTACTTAACACAGCTGTTTGAATGGGACATATATACAAAAGCTCTATTAAAGTATCTGATTCTGTGGTTTCTGGCTTAGCTTTCCAACAATTCGAGATATATACTCTTTATGTACCTTTTTTCCCCTTCAAAAAAGCTTTTTTGTAGTAAAAGAGAGGAAAACAAAAATGAACACACACATGCATTTGGCATCTTAAAATATAATTTTCAAAAGTGAGTAGAGAAAAGGATATAAAAGAAAGGAACAGCTGAAAATGTAGTTTATTTAAGACAGTTGAGATCCTTGGAGAGAAAAATGAGGATATGTGAAGAATTTGACAAAGAGTATCAGCACTAAATAGATGACAAGAGTAACAACAAGAAAATCAGTGCACAGCAGGGTTTACATCAGGGAGGAACACCAGATCTAGGTTCTCACTCAGTCAAATACAGATTACAAAGGGAGGACAATCATTAGCCTATTCTGGCTTTGGCTGTTTTTTCCATTCTGTGTTTCAATACCAACATAATTTATAATGGCATCAATTTTCTCATGTGGGAAGAAGTCGTCCCACAGGCCATGCTTTAATTCCATCCACAAATGGGAAACTGGAGTGTGGAATCGACAGGAGTTAGTCATTTCCTGATTAAACTGTATCATTACATCAGAGACGTTTAACAGTTACCCCTTTCTAGTCATCAAGTGTTAATTTTCTTTCAACTTGCTCACTCATTTCCCCCAAACCAGTCTTGTCCCTCTCCAATCCTTAATTCTGCTGTCTACTTTTTATACATACTTATTTTGTATTGACTCAGAATCTTAAGGGATTGTTTTTTAACCTGGCCCTAGAAACTTTACATTTCCTTATCATGTATTTCTTGCAATATATTTGATACAATTGCCCTGCTGCTACACATACAAAAATGTCAGCCTATGCTAAAAATGTTCAAAGCATTGAATTTATTTTCCTAGGTACCAACAGGTAAAAGATCTAAGAGATGTGATTCAGGAAAAGAAAGCTTTACACTAGCTGCATGCCCATTATGTATTCGAGCTACCACTCCACTAGTCCATGGTACTTTGCTCTCGTTTTGACAAGACATCAGTCTTTTTTTAAAATATTTTAAAATTGTCAATAAACCTTTATTTTATTTATTTATATGCAGTGCTGAGAATCAAACTCAGTGCCTTGCACATGCTACGTAAGCGCTGTACCACGGAGCCACCACCCCAGCTCCAAGACAAAAGTGTTTAAATGACACATGGTTCATTTCTACCAATTTCCCTTTTACTCACATTCTTTCTCCAAATCAACCCAAATTCCTGCCTTACACACATGTAATTTCATTTAGAAAGACATAGTATTGTGTAAATGAAGCAATATGAAATTTCTCTTCCAATAGGCTCTGGAGTTAGTCTACAATGTTTATTACATGGTACATGCTAGAGAATGGGAGAGTGAAACATCCTGCTTTACTCCCCTGGATAATCTAGGTGGTAAAAGAACTCACTCAATAACTGTGTTCTCTGGCACAGAGTTTCATTTTGTTTTCACACATCCACGAAGTGAGGTAAGAGTTCACAGAGAGATAACAGCATTTCAAGATTAGAGTAGAAATCTGAGCCAAAATTTAACATGAGTAGTAATGCTTCATTCTCCTTTTCATGTATAGTAATTTTTATTATTTTTATTATGAGAACCACTTTTTGGCTTTACTATTTGTATCATTATAGTTTATTTAGTTTTACTATCTTTTTAAATATCTTTTAGTTTTAGGTGGACACAATATCTTTATTTTATATTTATGTGTGCTGAGGATCGAACCCAGTGTCTCGCACATTCTAGGTAAGAGCTCTACCACTGAGCCACAACCCAGCCCCTCATTATACTTTTATCTTTATTATGTCTTTTGCTTTACTGACTTTTCTTTGAAAACATTCTTGCTTTTTAACATAAGTACATAAACAAAATTTTTCTTTTAAGCAGTATTTTGCCTGTTGTCCAAGATGCATGTTTTTCATTTTTTAAAATCTTCTGGATATTGAAAAATTTTGATTTAGTCTAATCAAATATGCTTTTAAAGATACATGCTCCTTTTTTAAATTTCAAGACAGACTTTTTTATTATATTGTATTCAAATTTTAGTTTCATGGAACAATAATCTCTCTACGTTTTTGCACTTACTGACATTTTCCTAAACTACTTTTACATTTTGTCAGTGTTCAGAGGTGATTTTAAGAGGTTTATTCTTTGTTTTCAGAGTAGAGATTTGAAAAACATGTCAATTTAATCTTAATGAAACATGCTGACTTATAAATTCTGGAGCAAGGGGTCAGTGAACTTTTTCAGTGAAAGGGAGGAGAGTGAATGATCTGACTGTACTTGTCACGTGGCCTCTGTTGCAATGACTCTGCTCTGCCTTGTAGCATGAAGCTGTGAACAGACATGGCTGTGTTCTAATCACTCTTTCTTCACCAAAACAGGCAGCAGGCAGGGTTTGTCCTGAGGGGTGCAGTGTGCTGAGCAGTATTCTAGAGACTCAACTGGTATCACTGGCTGTGCTACTGAAATCAGAGAGGAATATTAAGATCTACTGTATCGTACAACTGGAGAAATGAAAAGTTGTGCTCAAAAAAAAAAAAAAAGATCTCCTGTATTTAATATGGTCATGTTTCTTCTTACAATTCTTGCAGTTCTTTTAAAAAATAAAACTTGAGATCAATTTATTTGGTGGATAAATATTCAAAACTCATATATTCTTTTAAAATTGTCTCTAGCATTATTAAAATGTCCCTTTCCTCATCTGTTCTTTGATCTGAACATTTAGTATGAGTGAGATAAACATGGTTATGCTTATTGGTTAACAACTCATAACTTAGTCTGAACTATCTCTTTAAGCCAACAGGGCATCATTTCCTTTTAAAATGAGAATGTAACCCATTTATATTAGTTGATGTAGCACAGGCATCTGTCTTACTCTGTATTATGCTGTGGGTCTGAGTAACCTTTGTGCAAACAAAAGATGATACAGCAGGCCTGAGACAGGACTGCTTCAAGGTCAGCCCTGGGCTAGTATCTGGGAACTTAGACTTCAAGAGTATTCCCAAGGTTCCCAGCACTTCTGAGAGGGGCCATCATACCCAGACTGCCTGTGCCTATACTGAGCACCTGCTCTCCCTCTCACATCTACACAGGGTCCCAGCACTGCTCAGAGGGACCATCATACCCAGACTGCCTGTGCCTATGCTGAGCACCTGCTCTCCCTCTCACATCTACACTTTGACTCATGATAGATAAAGATGCCTATAAACTATCTACCTGACATACAGATCATCTGATCATCCACACAACCTGTAAATCATCCTGAACCTGTGCTTTCCATCTGAATACCCAGACTTTTAACATACTATTGAGGGTATGATAAAAATCCTGGGCTCCTAGTCCTAATCATCAGGATTCTGAGTAGACAAAATGTTACAATTCATAGCCAGGGGAACCCAGTGTGTCCTGTTTCTGTGATTGTGCCTCTTTTCCTGGTACTATGCCTCCTGCCCTTTTTAAACTGATTCTGCTCTGTATCCTTTCTGTTGATTTTTAGCCACAAGTATGGCTACATGCTGAGTGGTAAGTGTCCTCAGTGAGCTTTCTGCCAGTATTCAATTACTCACCTGGGGAACTCCAGTTTAGGAATCCTTTTTCTTTCTCTAATGACCACGGATCTTCTCCTTGTTCCAACGTGAAGATCAGTTCTGGTTTGGTAAAGCAGAACCCTGTAAATAGGAAATAATTTAGAACTTGAGTAGGCTGCGTAGATTCCGCTGCTCCTGAATATGAAGAAAAACACTGTGGTACCGCAGTCTGGCTGGGCACAATTCAGGAGCCACTTGTCAAAAGAAACGAACTTTATTTTTAGAACCACACACGCCAAACAAAACAGCTCCTCAGGAAAAACCTTCAGAGCCCAACTGCCACCACCGGCTTCCCACAAGCCTCTCAACCTCCCCCACTCCTCCTGCTCTTGAGGCTGATTGGCTGGGTCGCATGGGTGGAGCCAAAAAAGTCCCCCAATGAGCAGCTCCCTGGTCTGAAAGGGCAGGGAAACAGCCCAATGAGCATCACCGCAGAGGAGCCAATCAGTTGGCAGCTAGAAGTTGCTGGGGCTGCTGTGAGCCAATCATCAGCTGGCAGCTGGAAGTTTGCTGGGGCCCCTTGGGCTGTGGCTCTCAACACTGCGGGGAGCCATCCCTATAACGCATGAGGAACTTTCCTGGGCATCGCAGCCAGGGAAGGGACAGGTCTGGCACTGGGAACCTCCTGTGGCTCTCCCACAGAGACGGATAGCCCCAGTACATGTGACCTTCTCTCTGTTCTGCTAGAAAGGTCCCAGGCAGCACACCAGAGAAGGGACTGATATGTCATCAGGAGCTGAGCAGCCCACTTGCCCCACCTGTATCCTATTTTGGTGAAAATCTTTCCTGCAAAGCCTGTGAAGTCTTCCGATATAAATAGAGCAGGCACAGGCTCCTTTGTTAGAAGCTGGATCTGTCTGGTCAGTTGGCCCATCCTGACCCTGCCTTTAAAACTTCTTTCTGTGTTCTGTGGTTATTTCACCATCCTGTTTTTCTTAGCTTTTATGTCTCAGCCAGCCCATTCCACTGGAGGGGACTCCATTTCCACCGCTGCCCAGGATGCAGGCAGTAAAGCACAGCTTAAAAAATGGCACATTCAAGATGTGTGTACCTTTTGGAGGGAAAGTGACAATAGAATTTTTTTTTCTTACACTCAAATAATTTCCTTAAATCTCTGAACTGCAATCCTAAATAACATTATATACTAAAATGGTCAATGTCTTGGATTTAAACAGAAGATTTCATGAGGACTTCCATTTCTATCTATAGTAAAATAAATTGGATATCAGACATCTAAAAATAAACGTATATGGAAGATTACAGGCTTAAGACAAAAGGCAGGAGAACAGAGAAACAAATGAGGTGAGCCCTATAAGAATAACAGATTATTATCTCATATTTGGCAGTAGAATTATCTCATGTTTCCTAGACTTTAAGTGACTTGCCTTGCTTTTCATAACACTGTTTCAAGGACACTGTAAAAAGTCCTTCAATTTGAGATTGTCTGATGTTTTTCTCATAACTAAACTGTTGTCGTGTATATATGGGAGAAAGGCCACAGATTAAATGTCTGCCATTTTTATCACATTTTATTAACGGTACATGCTACCAACACTAACGGCTGGTGAGGTTATCCTTGTTCATCTGGCTGAGAAACCGTATGCCAGGTCTCCACTGGAAATTTGCTCCTTCTCCCCTGTGTATACTGTATCTCCAGAAGGAAGTCACTGGGCACAGCCCACTAAAGTAGAGCAGAGTTATGCTCTATCTCCCTGAAGGGACAGTAAGTACATCGATTAGTAGGATAACTCTGTTTAGGAGATTTTTCAACTTTTCCCAATTATTTATTTATATTCAATGACTTAACTTAGTATTCAGTATGGGTATTTTATACTTTGGGTTATAAATCAATAATGTTTTGTTGCTCAAATTTCTGTAGTTTGGGCTACTGAGAATTTGGTACCCCAAAATGAATTTCTCCTCTGTTCTCTATCATATGCACATATCTTGGTTCTTGAGCATTTCCTTAATTTCTGGGTCTACAAGATGCTCCATGCTCATCTCACATTCCTGTCTCAGTCCTAGAATCAGCCATTTCCGCAGGAATCCTGGCTCCTTTTACTGGCGATTGGTACTAGAAACTACTTGTGGGTCTACTCAGATTTTCTGTTTTCATGATTCAGTTTTGGTGCATGCTGTGTTTCTAGGAATGTGTTCCTCTCACCCAGCTGATGCAATCTGTTGGGATACAGCTGTTTACAGTATTCTCTTATGGTCACTTTATTTCTGTAGAGTTGGTAATACCTCTCACTTTCACTTGTGATATCAGTAATTTGAGTGTTCTTTCTCAATTTAGTCTGTCAATTTTTCATATCTTCTTAAGCAAACAAAACAACTACTGGTTTATTAATTTTCTCTATAGTTTTCCTAGCCTTTATTTCTTTTCTAATCACTATTATTTCCTTCCTTCTACTAATTTAGATTTAATTGGATCTTCTTTTTCTAGTATTTTCAGATATAAAAGGTAGGTCACTGATTCGAGATTGTCCTTTTTTTGGGGGGGGGGGGTACCAGGGATTGAACTCAGGAGCACTCAACCACTAAGCCACATCCCCAGCCCTATTTTGTATTTTATTTAGAGACAGGGTCTCACTGAGTTGATTAGCACCTTGCTTTTGCTGAGGCTGGCTTTGAACTCACAATCCTCCTGTTTCAGCATCCTGAACCACTGGGATTATAGGTGTGCATCACCATGCCTGGCAAGATTGACCTTTTTTAATGCATGCATTTAGGGCCATAAATTCTGATCTTAGAATTACTTTCACTGCACCATCAAAGTTTTTTTTTTTTCCCCTAGGTTTTTCCTTCCTCTTTTTAAATCATGTTCTTGTTCTCAAGAACTTCTTTTCTGTGCCCAAATCAGTAAAGTTATATTTTGAAGGGACACTGTCCTTTCAAACAGGTCATCCTAGGCAGCTAACTGCATTGCATTGGGGTCTCTGAGCAAAATTCTGTGACTTGAACTAAATAGTTTTAAATGTAGATTTTTTTGAAAACTAATATTTAATATTGCTTTTCCTGAAAGGAAAAACTGCCTACTTTGCTATTTAAAAACTCTCAAGAACTATTTTCTACTGCCGCTTATTTCATGTGCACCCACAATGAAAATGTTTAAATTAACTATGTTGTACAAACAAACAGAACTTTTTTAAAAAAAATTTATTTCTTTTAGTTCTACACAATGCCTTTATTTTTATTTATTTATTTATTTTTATGTGGTGCTGAGGATTGAACCCAGGGCCTTGCATGCACCAGGCAAGCGCTCTACCGCTGAGCCACAACCCCAGTCCCAAATAGAACTTCTAAAAAATTAGCCAGGTACGATGGCACATGCCTGTAATCCCAGTGGCTCAGAAGGCTGAGGTGGGAGGATCATGAGTTCAAAGCCAGCCTCAGCAAAAGGGAGGCACTAAGCAACTCAGTGAGACCCTGTCTCTAAATAAAATACAAAATAGGGCTGGGGGTGTGACTCAGTGGTTGAGTGCCCCTGAGTGCAATCACCAGTACCTGCCCCCTCTAAAAAAAATTAGTTAAGGCTTTTTGGCTCATGGTTTCAGTACATGGTCAGCTGGCTTCAGACCATGGACCTGTGGTGAGGCCCAGCACCATGGTGGAGAAGGCAGGTGCAGCAGAGCATCTCACCTCATGGCAACCAGGAAGCAGAACTGGCATTTATACAAATCCATCTGATCTTGTCTCATGCTGCATCATTTAAACGTCTTGAAAATTTGGTGTTTGTAATAGATGCTTTAATCTATGACTCCCCTTGTAATATCAAAATAACTATATTGCTTCACATATGGTGTAAGCATCTTTATAACTGTGTTCCCTGTAGCCCATCCTATCCCATGGAACTGCTGCGATTCACTTCAGTTATCTGGATACTCTAATCACCCAACCCATTATAATGGCTATTCGTATCTTCATTTGTATCCTGGGCACTCTAGGCATTATGTCAGGAGGCTCTGGGTTTTGTTTATCTTTTGCTTTAGGAAGTGTCTGGATCATTTCTGGTACCATGGCAGCTGGAGAGGCATGTTAGAGTCTGTAAACAAGTCAAGATGGCGCCTGGCATTTTGCCAGAGGGAGTGGTTTGTGAGGTGGCGCCAGCGAGCCTTTAAGTGTAAAGATTCCTTATTGGTCGACTGCTGTACCTAGTTTATGTTAATTAAGATAAGCTGTGTGTAATGTATATATACCCCTCCTGTCCTACAATAAACAGCTCCTACTCCTGCTGTATCGATGTACACAAGTTGCTCGTCACCCCCCAGTTATTTTGCTGCGGCCGGACTGCGGCAGAGGCAGATATTTCTTCTTATTTCAGGGTGAGGTCTGGAGTCCAGGTTCTCCATCTGGTCTTTACTGACATGTGAGAGTGCTATGGTTTGAATATTGGTCCCCTCCAAAATTCATGTTGAAATTTAATTCCCACTGTGATAAATTTAATCGTGAGACCTGTAAGAAGGAATCAGACCCTAAGTGGGACTAACACCATGATACAAGAGTTAGTTCGGCTTCTTTCTCCCTCTTGCCCTCTTTGTGCTTCCACCTTATGCCCTGTGATGACACAGTTAGGAAACCCTTGCCAGAGGCTGGCACCATGATGCTGGATCCAGGAGTACAGAACTCTGAGCAGGTTCTGTTTGTTCTGAATTACCCAGTCTGTGGTATTCTATTACAGCAGAACAAAACAGAAAACATAAGAACAAAACTGGTGCCGCAGGAAAGAGGTGCTTCTGTAACAAATGCGTGACAGTGTGCAAGTGGCTTTGGAATAGGTGATGGGTAGAGGCTGGAACGGTTTTGAAGCACATGCTGGGAAAAGCCTTTATAGTCATGAATGAAGCACGAGGGAAATTCTGGCGAGGGCTCAGAAAGAGAGAGTTATAGGGAGTCTGAAACTTATTTATTTATTTTTGGTACCAGGGACACTCAATCACTGAGCCACATGCCCAGCCCTTTTTTAAAAAGAATTTTTTTATTAGCGATAGGGTCTCACTAGTTTGTTGAGGGTGGATTGGAATTTGCCATCCTCCTGCCTTAGCCTCCAGAGCTGCTGGAATTCCAAGGGTGTGCGATCA